TTTTTTTTTTTTTTTTTTTTCTAAACTCGAATTTATCTCATAAGCTTATTTGTGTAGCTTTTAAAATAAGATTATTGAAATTTAACTATACCTAACACTTTTATCGTATAAGCTATATTTTCAGCTATAAGTTATAAGTTATAAACTCGAAAATCACTCACAATAGATCTCAGCTAGTTTTACCAAACATAACCTACAAATGTATTTGATAAACACATAAGTTAACTTATAACTTATTTAATTACATGATAAGCTTATTGTATACAAACATGTGTAGTTTGATATAATAGTTTTTTTTATAACAAATTTCGAATTTGTCTCATGAACTTTTTTGGACAATTTCTTAAATAAGTTCGTTGAAATTATTATTTCAATTAGTTTATCAGTTAATTTTATTAATCGTATCACTAGCTTTTACCATATGCTCCAATTTACTTATCTCTCCCTATATATTAATTCAAAACGTGTTGAGTCTAAGTGGCAGCTTCTCACGCTTCGGATGTTGACATGACGAAAATCTATGCTTCGTGATGTTGTTTTTATATTATTTTTGCTCTAAAATTAGATTTGGTATTAGACATTTATAATTTTCATCATATATTTCATAACTCAACACCCATGTTGTAGTTTATTACCAAAGACAGCCTATAAATAAAAAAGTTTTACCCTTGTTTATATCCACATAAAAATAAAATAAAATAGAGTGCTGTCTACATGGCTACATTACAAATACATTTGTATAGGGAATTCAAGTGAGAGAAAGTAGAGAGAGACAAGAATTATGTGGCTTTGGATTCTCCCACCAGATCGTGCCTGCCAGCTTTTTTTGTGAAAATGGGTTTCGCAGAAAGTTTGCAAATAACAATTCTTGATTGATAATCTTATTTATTCTTTCTTGATTTTGGAAATTATGGAGTATTAAATAACAAAAATTCCCAAAAAAAGAAACAAATAAATAAGAATAGAGAGAAAAATGGGATCTCTGTCCGAGGCTTTCCCTAGTCCGAGCATTGATAAAAGATAAAACCTTTTCTTGGTTTCTTTGTTCTGGGCTT